TTCTAAAGTAATACTGTGATACGTTACGTCTGCCGTAAATAGTTAACGGTTAAAGGGTTTTTTGACATATTAGAAGTTTTTTTTTAATTAAAGTGTAAACAAATTCAGTAAACACCTAAAAAATGCAAGCCATGGGAGAAACTGTAAGTATTGATAAGTCTGATATTGTAAATTATATTTTGCATAATGGGTTTTCATCAATTCCATACGAAGAACAAATTGTTATTAAAAATAAGGGGCGTCCTTTGCCTAAAATGTCCCGACTTATAAATATTAGTGCGGGTAAGGGAAGTAATAGATCATTTTCAGATAATTGGTACAGCAAGTACTCATGGCTTACTGGGAGTGAAATAAAAAACAAACTTTTTTGTTGGCCTTGCATTTTAGTTTCGACAAATAGGGGCAAACATCAAAATCCGTGGTGTGAATCTGGTTACGATAATTTAAAGGAATTATTTAGGGCTTTACATAAACATGTTATTTCGAAAGATCATACTTACAGCCAGATTAAATTAGATTTATTTGGAAAACAAAATATCCATGTTTCATTAGATAATGCCCAACGTGAAAATGCTATTAAACATAACGAAATTGTAAAAAATAATCACGCAGTTTTACGTCGTTTAATTGATATTGTAATTTTTTTAAGTTGTCAGGAATTATCTTTTAGGGGACACGATGAATCGGAGCATTCGTTAAATCAAGGTAATTATAGAGAACTAATAAAAATGTTTAAGAAATACGATTTGGAATTTTCTAATTTACTTTCTGATTCGAAGACATTTAGCGGTGTATCTAAAACAATCCAGAATGAATTAAAAGAATCAATTAGTTACATTTTGAGTAACATTATTGAATCTGAGATTCAGGAAACCATTTGCTTTTCACTAGAAGTAGATGAAACTACCGACATATCATGTCATTCACAATTGTCAATTGTTGTTCGATACGCGTTACGTGGTAATATCTATGAGAGGTTTTTAGGTTTTACAGACGTGAGTAAAAGCCATAAGGCAGAACATATTTTTGGTGTTTTAAAGGACAAATTAAAATTTTTTGATATCAAAAATAAATTGGTAGGGCAAACTTATAACGGCGCTGCCGTGATGTCTGGTGAATTAATGGTCTCCAGGCAAAAGTTAAAACTATTGCACCGCAAGCTTTATTTACTCATTGTCATGCGCATAGAATGAATTTAGTTTTGCAAGATACATGTAAAAAAATTAAAGAATGTCGTCTTTTTTTTGCCAGTTTAAGCGGATTTGCTTCATTTTTCTCAAGCTTGCCTAAACGGACTAATGTTTTAGAACGGTTTGTTTCGAAAAAAATGCCAACAGTTTGTCAGACGCGATGGAATTTTAAATCTCGGTTAGTTTTCACTGTAGCAGATTTTCGTGAACAGCTTTTGAAAGTTTTTGATTTTATTATTGAATGTGACGATTTTGAAAGTGATGATATCTCGATCCATAAAGCAATCGGTTTGAAAACTTTATTAAATGATTACTCTTTTAACATACTTTTAAATATTTTTAAGAAAGTGTTTACCCAAACCGATTTGATATTCAATGTTGTTCAAAATCAGTTAACTGACATTATTCATTCCAAAAATAGAATAACAAGACTGGTGCAAAATCTCAGTCAGATTTTCGTAATGATAGTAATTTCCAGTATATACGCAGTGACGTTTTGGACTCGCTTGATATTTCCGAACCCCCCAAAAAAAGATAAAGGCATGACAAAGAAACAGATCTCGAAAAACGAGTATATTTTGAAATTTTGGATACTATTATTATGCAAATAGATACTCGTTTTTCGAATTTTGAAGATTTGCAAATTTTTGACCTCTTTGACGATTCAAAATTTAAAAGTTACGCCAAAGAATTTCCAAGATATTTATTAGACAGGTTGATTAAAAATTATCCATCATTCTTTAATAAAATAAAATTAGAAAATGAATTAAAAGTTTTATATGCTGATCCAAATATTTTCGGAAGATGGGATAAGTTACAAGATATGTATAATTTTATATATTGCAATTCATTACAACAAACTGTTACCGAAATTAATAAATTATTTATTGAGAAATTATAAAGTTCTGGAACAAAAATGTAGATTTGATGAACAAAATGAAACACGTGTTTACTCTATGACTGTAATTTTGCTACTACCCTAAAAAAGGAAAGTGATACATTATTCAACTAGTAAAGTAGCCAATAGATGACACTGCTAGAAAATATTCAAATTTATTTATCTATATCCAACATTATTGTCATTAATTCTCTCATTACCACCAACGTCTGCCTCAAATGAACGAGATTTCTCTTGCCTCAAAAGAATCAAAAATTATTGTCGAAATACCATGAAACAAGAGAGAATGTCAAGCTTGTCACAAATGTCAATAGAAAAAAAAACTTTTAAAATCTCTTCAAAACTCTAATAAATTTTACGATGACGTTATTACCCATTTTGCTACTTCCAAACAACGTAGACTAGAGTTAATTTATAAACATGTTTAGGTTCTAAATTTAAAGGAAAAAACAAAAAAAAAAACAAAAAAACAAGAAAACAAAAAATCTCCTATGATGATTGAAGTCTTTATTGGACGGTATACCTATCTGTGGAGACAAAAAATACCTTGCCGACCTTGTCTCTCAAGCCACGAGCCGCCACTGTATCTCGTCGCTCTCCACGGCAGCGTCTTACCATCCTACGACCATCATGCATTTCTAAACAGAATCGTGATTCATCGCTGCATGCTAAATTACGCCATTCTGCCACCCAATGCTGTCGTTGTCTGCACCAATTCAAACGTTGATTACAGTGGTCCACAGTGAAAGGAAGTACTAGTCGTGGGCTGAATGAGACCAGTCCAAAAGCTTGAATGTGACGGTATAAGCCGTATGACCCAGACAGCATAAGACATCCCTGGGACGTCCATTTTATGCAATTTTAAGGTCCAAACGTCCCGGAACTTCTTTTGGACGTTCGAGGGACATGTTTTTTGGATTACCAAAAAGCATATGATCGTGTCCAACACCACAAGTTAATGCAGTTCCTCAAGAAAGTTGATATAGACCAAAAAGTCATAAGATGCATTGAAAACTTGTACTGGCATCAAACGGCACAGCTAAAAATAGACAATTCTATATCCAAACCCATACATATAAGAAGGGGCGTTCGACAGGGATGTGTGCTTTCCCTCTTTTATTTAACATTTATTCGGAAGCCATATTTCAAGAGTCTTTGGAGGATGCAAAGATGGGAATCAAAGTGAATGGAGTATTGATCAACAACATACGATATTCTGATGATGGTGTCTTAATTTGTGACAACATAGTCGATCTTCAACAACTTGTCACTATAATCGGAGAATACAGTAAGCGAATGGGATTAGAGATTAATACCAAAAAAACCAAATTTATGATCATCTCCAGAAACTTGGATGCACTTGAAAACTCCACCATAACACTGAATACTAAGTCCATTGAAAGAGTGAGTAAATTTAAATACCTGGGATCGTGGCTTTTTGAAGACTGGGCATCGGACAGGGAAGTAAAATGTCGCATTGAGCAAGCTCGACAAGCTTTCGTAATATTCAAGAAGGTACTGACTTGTTCAGAGTTCGATCTTCAACTGAGACTAAGGTTTACTAAGTGCTACGTGTGGTCAGTGCTGCTATATGGCGTAGAGGGCTGGACACTCAAAACGAGGGATATAAACAGATTAGAAGCTTTCGAAATGTGGCTCTATCGCCGTATCCTAAAAATACCATGGACAGCGAAAATCACAAATATAGATGTCCTTAAAAGAATAAACCAAGAACGCCAACTTTTCGAAACCATCAAGAAAAGGAAAACGGCGTATCTAGGTCACATCATGCGAAATGAAAAATACCAGTTCCTCCAACTTATAATCGAGGGTAAAATTGAAGGCAAGAGAGGAATGGGACGCAAGAAAATGTCCTGGCTCCGAAACATAAGGCAATGGACAGGGATTAACGACATACAATCTCTGATACATATTGCAAGAAATAGAGAATTAATGGAAAATGTGATCGCTAACATCCATTAGTGGATTTGCATCTGAAGAAGAAGAAGATATTTTTTACAAAATATAATATCTTTCTACTAAACTTTATTTTAAAAAGTTATATTTAGTTTTAAATACCATTAATTTATACGAAAACAGACAGAGGCCCCTTTTAGAGAAAAATCCTTATCCTATAGCAGAGCTGTATCTCTAAAATTTTGTTCTGTGGTGGAACTGAAATTTAAAAATTAGAAGATGAAAGAAGAATGTGGTTATGTTTTAACGACGCTTCTATTTATCTCCTTGTTTCTTTTTGGCGAATTTTTATTTTTAGCTAGAATTTTCGGAATCTTTTATTTATTATTATTATTATTATATTCGAATTATAATCATTGTGGTTGTACAATTTATTATTATAGACATTAAGTAGGTATATAGGAATTTTATATAGGTAATTTTTGTGGTTGTGGTGTGAGTTGCTACATTTGTAAAGTAAGTATGAGTAATGTACTTAAAAAATACTGTAGGTACACAATAAAAATCCCATTTATTTTTGCTTTTCATTTTATTGGTTTTTTGTAAGTTCCCTTTAGGTCCTGTACACATCCATTTAGGTCCTGTATTAGTCCATGTGGACGTACAATGGATGTCCCAAATACATCCTTCTTAGGTCCTATATAAGTCCGTATTAAGTTCTGTATAAGTACTATGTACGTCCCCATGAACATCCCTGAGACGTCCAGGAGACGTACTTTTTGGTAACATTTAGGTCTTATTGGACGTCCCGGGGACGTCCAAATTATGTAAACGGATGTCCGTGGGATGTCCGGACATTTAATGAGGTACATCCTTCGGACGTCCATGGGACGTACTTGTGCTGTCTGGGAATGTAGTCATTCGGTTGCGAAGTACATATAATTTAAAAGGGGAAAAATTAAAAAGATATTATTTTACACTACTTAAATTATTACCTTCAATATCCAATGAATAACATTGCAGAACCTTCACATTCGAAACTTCATTTTTCTTCATAATATCTACACATAAATTATAGAGCTGCTTGTTTTCTTCAATGGCTATGACAGACGTACCTGGCATCTCCGCAGCTATCAAACTTAAAAGTCCACATCCCGCTCCTATATCTATAACGTTTTTGTATCCGTTTTCAATGACTTCTCTGATGGCTTCGTCGTAGGCGAGATTTCTACCTTTGTCATTAAGCATCCTAAAGTGCCATCTTGGTATTTGATGCCATTTGACGCGCATCAGATTTATTTCTGCGGGAAGGTAATTTTTGTTGACGTTTACTGCTCTTTCTAGATATCTTCGAGCGATATCTACTTCGGATATTCTAAAAAGAAAATATTTTTATATAACAAAATAAAAATGTATTACAGATGTAAAAAAAATAATTATTAATATTTTTCGATAAATATATAATTTTTATACATACACTCAAACTATATTATAAACAATTGCACGTCGTTAAAAAGAAGTCTAAAATTTTTGGCATTTTTTCATTTTTAAGAAGCCTACAAGAAATTTATTTTAATTTGATGTTTTTGTAATGTGTAAGAATATGTTCTAAAGCAGTATGCACCTATTTCTTAAATAATAAATGTCAAAAAATAAAGCTTCTACCAAAATGATGATTTTAATGGAAAATTTTATAAATTAACATTGTAAATGTTTTCTGTTCTCTTTCATAAAAATTATAATAAAGTGATTTTTAATATTCTGTATTACCACCTCTATTTTGAATTACACACCTCATTCGACTTGGCATTGAATTTTAAGCCGGTCAATTCATTTTTGGCACACGCACGGTTTCCAGGTATTGCCATACCATCCAGGCTACATGTGGTCGCGCGTTTTCTTGCACGAAAATAAAGTTTTAGCCCACAAACCCAGCAAAAGGCATTGCATGCTCGTCTAGAATTTAGGTAATGTATCGATGAGCATTCAACGATTTTCTATTAATAAACACGAGATCAGTACGGTCTTCGAATAAAATGCCTGCAAACCTAAGCGGGTGTTATTGATGTGCTGCTATTAAAAAAGGTCCGCGATGTAAATAAGTAAATATTCGGAACTCATTCAGGTTGGTAACATTGTAAGAGTGACGTGACGGACAGGTGCAAGGAAGAGGAAATAAAACTATTCTGGATCTATAGAAAATGTCACACTGAGACTGCAGGACGGGCAATGCTTTTCTTATGGAGAATAAACGCGCATGGTTGTCGGTTTTCTCCAGCTGTTGATTGCTCATTGTCTCACAGGACCGTTTTGATAAAATGCATCTGCCGGCAGTACGAGTAAAATATTTTATATCATGTATACGTATACAGTAGAATAAAAAGGCATTGATGAGTTATTGACAACGAAAACTATGAATTTTGCATATAAAACGTCAACATGAGATATACAATTGAATCATATTCATAAGAGTAACATTTGAACACCTCTTTACAAGAACAACATACAATAACTGTAGTTTTAATGTTTTACATAAAATAGAAAAAACCTACATAATTTCTAGGAAAGAATTTGGAAACTTGGAAATGATATTATTTATAGATATTATATATAATATTCAAATTTCCAATTCTTTCATAGAAATTAGATTTTTTCTATTGTATGTAAAATATTAAAAATACAGTTATGTTGTTTCTATAAATAGGTCTTCATTTCTTTTGTAAAACTTCTGCTACAAATTACCATCATTAACATAATCACCTAAATATGGCCATAAACTTGTTTGTCATAATTAGTATTTGATAAACTCCAAGCTTTCCCTATTTCACCCCCTACCCATCCTAAGGATGGGTAGGGGGTGAAAGTGCTTTTGGAAAACGAAACTACACTTCAAAATTTAGTCCGAGTTTCAACAGAGAGCATGGAGTCCCATAAGTTTAAATCCGGTGAATTATTTAACGGTTGCGCTAAACTCGTAGTGTTAAATGTGTTGTGTTTTTTACAAAATACGGAACAACTTAATGTAAGTGCTGCTGTAAGACGTACTTCGTTGATGACTGGTGTTAGCGAAAGAAGCATTTACAATTTCAAAAAAGAAAAAGAACAGAGTGGAACGTTGAAATCGCCAAAAAAAACGTAAAAAACGAGTGTGTCAATCAAATTCTAGAATATTCACATATGACGAGGGTGTAAGAAGTATTCTACGGAGAATTGTTCATTGTGAATTTTTCATGAAAAATTTGCCGCCATTCTTAAAGCATATACATAACTTCATACAAGGTAATGAGAATATACAGCCGTTGTCTCTTTCTACTTTATACAGACTTCTGAAAGATATTGGATTTGTTTATAAGAAACGTGGCCGAAGAAGCATCATGGTGGAGCGAGAGGATATTATTCATTGGCGCCATAATTATTTGAGAACTATACGACGTTTGCGAAAAGACCATTGCAATATCATATATTTGGACGAATCGTGGGTTAATGTTGGCCAATCTATAAATTACGAATGGTGCGATACTACGATACAAAACAGTCGTGATGCTTTTCTCAAAGGTTTAAGTACTGGCTTAAAAGCACCTACTAAACGAGGTCCACGATATGTTTTATTGCATGCAGGTTTTTCAGGAGGTTTCCTTCCTGGCACACAGCGTGTTTTTCTGGCAAAGAAAAATGATGGCGACTATCACGATGAAATGGATGCCGCATATTTTGAGTCGTGGTTTAAGGAGACATTAATATCAAATTTACCAAATAATGGTCGCAGGAATGTCATTGTAATGGACAATGCATCGTACCACTCCCGTAAAGAGAGATTCCCTAACAATTCCTGGAATAAAGCTGCAATCAAGGAATGGCTAGTGGAAAAAGACATTTTTTTCGAGGAGTGTTATTTGAAATCCGAGCTATTAGAAGCAGCGCGTGCTTTTAAAGATCAATACGATAAGTATCATCTTGATGAGTATGCTTCACAACATAATGTTTATATTTTAAGGCTTCCTCCATATCACTGCGAATTGAATCCTATAGAAATGGTGTGGAACCAAGTTAAGCGATATGTAGGTACCCATAATACCACTTTTAAAAACGACGAGGTACGCCAGTTGATCGACGACGGTTTCGCACGCGTCACAGAGCAAAATTGGCGCAATTATGTCACTCATGTTGTTGAGAAAACGGAAACTGAGATGTGGACTGCGGACAACCTGCAAGATGACGTAGACCAATTGATAATACACGCGAACACAGGGGAGAGTAGCGAAAGCGAATCCGACATCTCGGATGTAGAGGACGACTTTAGTATAATTAATTGAATATCTGTGAGTAACCTCGATTATTTTACACTGTATAACCAATAAAATGCATTTACCAGTCCAATCAGAGTATGGGCTTTTCGGATATTGGGCTGGGTGCACGGAAATCGAGTTCCCGGAGGTTCCACCCTGTATATTTATAGCTATCAAGAAATGTAATTTAAAATATATTTGTTAGTTTAATAAAGTATAAATATAATATAATGTTAAATAACTTACACTATAAACCTTATACCTGCTCATCTGGTCAAGTGTGGGCAAGGAAAACCATTATCCCATATGGAATAACACAAGGTTTCGCTGAAAACTACCAGGTTGCTATGCCAAGGAACTAGGTAAACTTATGTTGTGTGTAAAAAATGCGAGACTGCATTATGTTTTAACAAGGACAAAAACTGCACTTCAGATTTCCACAAAAAAAAATTTCATAGTAGGTGTTAAAATTTCGCAGTGATTCAAGTGCGCAACTTGTTTTTTTAATAACATCGCCGGGATTAAAAAATGTGCAAAGCTTTTTCGATATTCCCGTTCCTGATAATTTTTCACATATTTACAAAAGAAAAAGTTTTTCTTGGATATTGGGCTGGGTGCACGGAAATCGAGTTACCGGAGGTTCCACCCGGTATATTTATAGCTATCAAGAAATGTAATTTAAAATACATTTGTTAGTTTAATAAAGTATACAGTTTTATAATAAAATTCTCGCTAAAAACTTAAGGTCTTTTTATTCAAATTCATGCCTCTTATTTGGCTACTTGAAGGCAATTATTTTATCAATATATTATTTTATAATAAATAACAGAGCCCGGCGTAGAGATCTGGGTACGGTTCTGTGACTACCACTTGGACCTGTTTGTATCGCCAAGCACAAGGCGTGAAATCCGGCAATTGTGCATTCCTATATTAGCCGTACTGCACTCTCGGTGTGACATTTTCTATAGACCCGATAGATACAAGTTGTTTCATTATAACCTAACCTACACTCTCCAGAGTTAACCTATCCTATAAGCCCGACCACGTGTCATCACAATTGGACCAAATTAACTCAACCTTCTTCTCACTGTAGAAGTGCTTAATGTCCACCCGCAAGTGGATTTCGCAAAGAAGTGCGTTATAAAGGAACGGTATTCTCTAGCCACCTTAATCAGAACGCGTGGGCTTATTTTTCCACTCATTAATTTACTTAATGCTTCGATATCTATAAGTTTTTGGGTAGAAATTTTGGATTTTAGATACCACAGATAGAATAATCGATTGGAGCCCGATCTCAGAAGCCACTTAAGATAGGTCCAATCAAACAATTATTAAAACGGTTTTTAGGGAATTGCTTAACCTCCTGGCTAATGTGCGTAGGGCATCCATTCATTTGAAACCAAATTTCTTCCTTTACTACAGTTACTTCTACAAGTCTCTGTAAAATATCTTCCTGTAGCAAGTCCAAAAACTTATCTGAATTTAAATTTTCCTCAGAGAAAAATGGCCCAATAATATTGTGTCTAAATATTCCTAAGCAGACATTTATTTTTCAAAGATATTGGGTATTGTTTGCAATAATACCTCTTCTCGAGCTTTCATGTCTGCAGCTGTCTGCATTAGTCCTCTCTAAAATTTCATAACATAATTCTGCTAGTCTCAGCATCTCCTTGTAATATCATGCAATAATCACAGAATTGTACATTAATTTTTCTTAGGGCTTAGGAAAACCCATTTCTATTGTATTCGTATTTTTTACAGGACGAAAAGATGAATAAAAAGAGATTGGATCGAATTGATTTACTAATTTTTATAGAAACTTATTAAAATAGTTTGTTCCCTCTGTAAGTATTATGCACACATAATTCGAGTTTATAACTTTCTCTCAATACCAAATAAAGTGTAATATTAGTAACACCCATCGTTTAATATTGGCATTTTTTCAATATTATTATACCCTGATATGTCAGTATCTTTATTAGCTTTGATTGGCTTTATAATATGTAGATAATTAAGATGATTCTATCACAAATTAATTTCATTATTAAAACAAATAAAGATAACAGCTGTGTTGCACTTTTTCTTGAAC